CTTCTTGGGCTGGTTCGTCCCTGTCTCTACTCCGTCATCTCTTTAGGTAGGGAGGTCATCCCGTCTCTCCTATTATACCTGATGAGCTTTGCGTTTCCAGTAGATAGATGATGATGCGTGTTCGTCTCGCACGAACCCTGCTCCGAGCCTCCACTCCTCTTCCGTGCAGTTTCCCCTGCCGTTCCTTTCTGCCCACAACCACACGGCGGCCACTGCTGGCTGTTGTCCCACGACCGTTGCTGGTTTGACAACAAAAGCGGAACAAACAGCAGTGTTTTGAAGAGCGCGTGTGTGTGTGTGATGATTCCGCGGGCGACCGGACATCTTCTTTAGAAATAAATGTGGAAGTTTAAAAATGTTCCGAGAAAGAAAACATTATTCACATTTTCCGGCAACACGACTGGGAACGAACCCAGGAACCACAGAACCACAGGAACGAACCGTAGCATCGTAGCAGGTAGCAGGGACGAGGGCTGAGCTCCTGCTGCTGCTGTTGCAAGTCAGTATACTTCGTGGGAAACCTGTGTTAAACCGACCATTTTTTTGGAGACGGTTGCTGCATCAAATCAATAATAATAGCGCCTCCGCATTCCAGATCTTCGCGCCTTGATTTTCGAACGAAGACTACTGTAGTCTAATTATAACCACCCAGGTGCTTTGTTGCATTTCCACACGTGGATGTGCATCCCGACAGACAGGTGCCCCGAAAGGAGCGACAAGATATGCATACAACGTCGATGACGAGATAGATAACACCACAGAAGCATGTGTTGTACACTTCCATCGTAGCTTGCTTTGTTGGTGGTATCTTGCGAGGAGAGGAAGCGAGAAAAAAACGGAATTAAACGGAAACCGGTTAGATTATTGCCGAGACAAGCCGAGAACATCAAGAGATAACCGACACACACGCACGGTGCCGGGCAAGGACTATGTAAAGAAGAAGAGCGGGGCGGAACAGCGGCACTCCTTTCACAATCAAACGATTCGCCATGGTGTTACTATACAACCATCCGCGGATATGTATGGGTGCGGACACGGCAACGCACTCGACGCAGCAGAAGAAGAGCCGGACCCACAACGAACGGCGAACGGCACGTTTCACGTTTGTTTGCGCAGTCACAACCCCCATGGAAGACGACACAGATGATACACACACATAAAGCGTTCATCTTGCAAAAGGTCACGAAATGATCGACCGTTGTACAAACCGCGGCCGAACTATCGGACTCGCCCCCCATCACTGTCGCCATCAGCGTTGTCATCGCCATCAATCATGGAATTATCCACCATCGACAGCCACCATCGCCACCGTGACCACCACTACTTACTGCCGTGTCGTTTGGGGGGCCTCCCCCCCATCCTCATGCATAATTGCCGGCCCTACGTGCTACTACTACTACGGACGGTATTACGGGGCACATGCATCAGGTTGCACGGCCGGCAGCAGAGCACCGAGGAACGAATGCCCGTTGCGGAAGCAACAGGCCGCACTGCAACAACAGCTCGAGAAGAACAATTTTCACCATCATGCGGGGAGCGCCACCATCACCTGCCTCATCACCATTCAGCGGCCGGTCAAAACGGCGGCAACGATTGTAGTACTATGCTCAAGTCCGGCGATGAAAAAAACAACACGGTGACAGGTAGAAGAAGAGTGGCGGGGGATCAACGGTACGCACTCTGTAGGAAGTACCATACATATCATCAGTTGGCGTCCTTGTTTCTCAATCGCACACACAACTGCCATCACATGTATTGTGTGCCCCGTGGCCGGCCATGACCTTCCTGCCCTCCAGTAGCAGGCGCCCACCCTGAAGAACCTCTAGTTTCGGTCGAGGCTGTGTTTTAGTACTGTACCTAGCTAGGGTTGTGCTGCGAATGGTCACACTGAGGGATCTGTGTAAGGTTCATAACCGAGCCAACGACCGAGCTCACCGATAAATTGTGCTCAAGTTCTTACATGTATGCAATAGATAGATTGCGAGGTTTCCGAGGCTCAATTTTTTAACTGTCAAGTTTTTTTTTTTGTGCGGGCGCGAACTACAGCAACCAGTCAGTCCTGCGCCCAGCACCAGAATGAGAGGAACAAACCTTGCATCCCGTGTACATCCGTGGCCGCCGATGACCTGCCTGCTGGAAGGCAGCAATAGGCAGTCACACAGTTCTGCGCCCACGAAACGAAATACCATGTAACGAAAAAAAAAGAACAATATTATCGCGGGCATCCAACACGTTCGGGCGTGATGTCGGAAGATGGACCGTATCCGTACATGCCATCTGTTTCTTCACACTTCAGGTCGAAGACTTCCCTCACAACACCTCACTCGGCACAACGCCACAACGCTGGTAGCAATGTCAAAACACTACTTCTACAAAGCAATAAACTATTACTACTGCTTGCGGCGCTAATCACGCCTCCCCTCACAAAACGTCTGCCTGCCGCCAGCAATGTTTGTAATGTGGTGCGGCGAATGACTCCCCCTGCCCGACGTAATAGGTACGCTACACGAAGGCGGTTGTTCCAAGGCTGCGTGATGAGAGTGGGAAGCACGCTCTCTCTCCCTCTCGCAAAACACAACAGGCGCAGGAGGCTTGCGCCACACTTCGATACAGCCGCAAATATACCCAAAAATACATATATTAATGTATTCTCCTTTGGGACCACCCCGCGCGCTCAGCAAATCATCAACCAGCCCGCAGGGGACAGCGAAAACAGCAACCAACCCAAGCAACTCACAAGGGTGCAAAGGACAACAAGTGAAACTATTTGTTTCCAACCAACTAACAGGTTCTTCCGGCTGCGCACACAAATGCCGATCGTCGATGGCCACTCGTTCCTTCCTGCTTCGCCACGCCAAAGGTGGCTCGAAAACGTTTTCCCTAGCCTAAGTGCGCCTGGTGGGTTGTACCCACAGTCGCGCATGCCGTGGTCGTTAGACCATTGACCTGACATCCCTACAACGCCGGGACGGAGCACGCCGAGTTGTCACCGAACCAGGTGCGCCTGGGCGGGGGATGCGAAAACTGTCAATCACCATATACCCCCCTTTTCCTAAGGGGACATCGGTCGTTCCATCCAAGCCCAAAAACCGCACAACGTCGAAGGAAGCGTTTCGGACGCCACCACAAGGTGGGTGGCTGGCAAAGGACAGGGGCCGCGGGGGGTCGAAGACTCGAAACCTCTGCTATATGTTTTTTTATAGTTGCACATCCCTAACAACCCTCCCTTTCCTGCCCACCCCCTTACCCCCAAACCATAGTTCGTACACTTGCTAAACAGAAACAAACCGGCCGAGTATTGTACGTGAACGAACTGAAGACGGGCTATGGAGTAGACGCAACGCGGGACCGAACAACGTGAGTCAGGGTACCGAAAGGGGGAGAGGCGCGGCCGTCCAACATGAAGCTAGCAACCGCCGGAGTCGTACCAGTTCATTAATTCTATCGGGAGCATCAGGAGCGCGCCCGTCCAACATAAGCCAAGCAAAGCCAAGCAAGCCAAGCCATCGCCGCTCATTCTATCGAGAGTCAAAGGAGGGCGCCCGTCCAACATGAACCAAGCAAAGCCAAGAGGTTGGTGCGGGGCCGCCACCGCCTACCGGGCCGCGGCTTGCCGTTCTCTCGGTTCCTTCGTCCACCCACAAGCAGTTCTTGACGATACTAGGCAGTGCCGTAGACCTGGCGAAGCCGTTGTTGGAGGGAATGGGGGGGAGTTGAGATCGTGGACAGGGACACAAAAATGCAACAACGACCATCAACAACACGAGGAGAGGGGAGGGGGTGACAGAGTGCTCTGCACACCCGTCTCACCGTCGTCATGACGTAAAAGCCATCGCAGGTTTCGCTGTTGCGAGTCAAAAACCAAAACATGCACAGCACGCATGTATTTGTCAACTCACGCCAACACCAGGCGCAGCACAACAGCAAACCGACGTACCGACATGGCGTTGATGCCCCCGCAGATGTCTGTAGCGTCGCCGGTGCACGCCATGTCGCACGTTGCTTCTCCGTAGACGGCGTAGTCGGCGTTATTGCCGCACCAACACTGGCGACATTTATTCAAAGGGCGTCCGATAGGGGGGAATTGCGTGTCAGCAATGAGCGCACATGTGACGTCCCGATTACTCTCGTCGCCACGTACATGGAGCAACCATGCCTCTTGCATGTTTATGTTCACGTCCGCGCACGGGGGAAAGACTGGGTGCTCTTCGTGAGGTGTGTGCCATCAACGGAAAACAAACTTCACGCACAATAACAGAATATGCTCTCCGCCTGCTGAATGCAGCAAGCATCCTTGTCTCTTTTCACGCTATGCGTGTATTCGTTTATTGCGCCCGCGCACGGGCCGGAAGGCTTTTCATATTTTTGTTCTCTTCGTGAGGGGTGTGCCATCAACGGAAAACCTGCGTCATCGGAACAGGGGGGCTCGTTGGGAGATGCACAAATGTCAACCGCGCGAAAAAAAAAGAATATGCGAACGATAAAAATTCCCCACAATGATGCGGGTCGGGACAAATGATAGTGGGCCGAGTCATGGTCATCTCCTAAGGGGTATCAGAACACGAGCCCTTCTTGCGCGTACGATTTGTCCACGACTCGACGAACATCATTTCCGCGACCATCGCCCTCAGGCTATACACACACAGAAATCGCCGGCACGCTCGTTCCGGCCTCGTCGACATAAAACGCATGACATGACCGTTGATGACACCACATGCATGACCGTTAAAAACTGTCCACACGGACAGAAGACCAGACGGAGAACATGCACACAGCAACGGCTCTCGGTTTTAAGTCGCTCAGCTCACCTCTCGACACCATACGCGTGACCGTTGAAAATTCTCCACAAGGCCAAGGACACTAGATAAAGCTGCGCACAACAGCTCTCGCTTCTAAGCGTAAAGGTCTCGGTCAACCCCCACCGCTGGCTCTCCACATGGGCAAAGACCAGACGACGAACTTGTTACTGTTGCACAACAACGAATTTCGATGATAAAGTCTCAACTCACCTCTCGACACCACACGCGTGATCGTTGATGATTGTCCACAAGGCAAAGAGATATTATTTTAACAGACGAACAAGCACACAACGGCTCTCGCTTTCTTCAAGCCTCAACTCACCTCTCTCCCGTACTGCGTGCCGTAGTAGGCGAAAGAAGAGCAAGTAGACGCGCACTCCTGTTTCGTCGTGAGTCGTGTTGCCGGAAACAGCGAGCCGTTCGGTTGTTATCGTGTCGTGGGATACGATAACGCCGCACGTAGCAGACTCGGGGAGGAAGAGCGGGTGGTGGGAGGGGACTGAGGTGTTACTATAGTCGGCATGGAGACAACGGACAACGTATCGGCCGAGAGATCATGGAGTGGCGGCGCAACGGCGACACCAACGCGTCAAGCAACGGACAAACTTGCCCGCCGGGGGTCGTCCCCAGAAATCAAAGGCTTGATTTTTATGAGCTCGCTCTGAATTTCACCAATAATTTAAGTGGAAACCTGGTCTGTATGTTTTGTTTTTGAGTACTTCGTGCTTTTTCAATTTCAGTTTTGGGGACGCAATGCGTTGTTGGTCGTTGGAGGGGTGACCCCGAACGATTGGTTATCGACGCGAGACGGCCGGCACGGAACAGCGCAACACTAAAACTACTAGTAAAATAAGGTTAAAAGCAATAGAAATACAAGTTGGGCATCATACACCACAATGATTCCTTCGGGAATCTATCTATCCGGATTCTTTATGAAGTTGTTGTGTTTTGCAAGACGAAGAAACAAAACAAATACAGGATCAATGGTACGACACAGCGCAAGCAAGAAACAACGAGTCGACGCCACACAGCATTAGGTTATCAACGGCCGTGAAAAACGCGCGCCGCCGCGGGGGCCGGCCCAGCATGTCCACTCCCTTCTTTTACCGCAGTGGTCATGCCGTTGGACGCGCTGGACTCCTTGTTGGCATGAAGAGAGGTAACCGTGGTCTTTACTAACAAGGCGTATTGTGGTGCCAAGAACTGTAT